TTTTTTTTTTTTTGGTCACACGCTCTTATTCGTGGGTCATTGATGTTTAAACAAACCAGTATGAAAAATCAGCAATGGTTGGGGTCCTGCTTCAGTTGGCATTACATGGTTTTGCAATTCTACCCTCATATAATTATCCTTGAACCTGGAACTGATTTTGGTAACTTCTTTTTGCAAGCATCACGAATTGGCTGGTCTCTTTCTTTGACTGGCTGGATTGAGGTTTTCGGCAATACGTCTCTGAACATATATGATTGCCCACTCTAAATGTTTGAAAACTTCATATGAAATCTCCATTGTTCTGCTAGTACACGACCATAAGATTGGATCATGACTACATTCTACCTCCCGTTAAGCAGATATTTTACTAGTAGCATTTGCTTATATTTCTGCGAATTTTTTAGTTTAGCATTTCACGAGCTCTTGTGTCTGCAGCCGTTACCACCAGAAGAGGAGAAAGAGCTGAAGGAAACACTGCAGCATATACTTGGACAAGGCACAAAAGTTAAAGTTGAGCAGAAAGTATGTATATATTTGTCTCATTTGAATTTAAGGGTAAAAAATTGCAAAACTACATAGAAAGCTTAACCTATTCACAGAAGGCCCCACTTATCTTCCATGGTTATAAATATACTCGTCTTCTGTCTCTACTTTACATATTGCATCCTCAAGAGTTGGGTATTAGTTAAGGGGGGTGTTATAATAGCTCAAGGTGTTTCTGTAAATTTGAATGAAGTCGACCATTTCTCACTGTATTCATCAAAAGTTTGGTTATTTTACTTATTTTTTACTAAACGAAACAACCGTAACATGTCTATAATTTTTATACATCTGCAGATTGATCCGAGTATCCTTGGTGGGATTGTGGTGGAATTTGCACAGAAAGTGTTTGACATGTCCATAAAGACTAGGGCTGCTCAGATGGAGCGATTCTTACGCCAACCTATCAACTTGGATGGCAACTAAAAGTTTTATGATTTTCATAAAAAGGACACACATCCCGTTTGTTTACTGTGATTTTCTAGTGAAACATGCATTGTTTCATTTGTATTTTGAAGGGTATTTCGGTTCGTAGTGCCTGTGTTTTCTTAACATGTTGGTGTGCTGCATGCAAATAAAAGCTACTCATCCTTTGTTCTTCGACATGAACTTTCTTGAGCGCGTATAAAAGCTCAATTGGTTTAATGTGAAGATCCTTCTTTTCATAATGAAAATTGCAATGTTCTGAGCACACGGTTGTGTTTAGTTAATTTTAATTTTTAATGCAACTATAGTTTAAATGAATCATGCAACAATGACATAATGGTTTACATAAATTTGATATAATATAGACGTGGTAAGATGGCTGTTGGTGGTTTGATCTTTAGAACGTCATGATCAAGAACAAGATTGTGGTTGCTTGGTTGAGTAGGCTGATCACCGAGCCGAACGGCTTGCGATCCAAAGAACTTTTTTTAATTCAATTGATATTTTAGGTTATAATATGTGAACTAAGCCTAAGTCTAACTTTGTAGTCCTTCCCCCTCCATTTTTTAAAGAGGATTTTGCACCCTGTACTTCCACCTTATAAATATATTATAATTATACAACTAATATAACAATAATTATGCTGAAATTAACTTAAAATATTGCTATTATACCTAAAAGAAGGGAAAAGCTAGTGAGATAATTAAGGGGAAGATTTACCGTTTTCAGCAATAATATCTCATCCAAAAACTTACCCCACTGCCCCACGTTTTACCAAACAACTTCTGCTCAATTTCTCGCCGCAAATCCTCAGATTTTAGAGCTTTCTTCGTCCATTAAAATCGACCACTCCCAAACTTCAAATCGCTCGAAGATCCCATCTTTGTATCGCCATATCTCAGCCTTCATCATTCATCGCCTCCATAATCCTTCAGCCTGTCGCGCCTATCCCCTCGGTTCGGCCAACCTGCAGACGCCGTACGACCGCCGTGGGGATCCAGTGAGCAATGGCGTTTTCAGCGGAAACGAAGAAATTTAGGCGACCTTCAGGCGGCTCGACCCGTCCCCTCATCTTCCTCCATCGGCGAGTAAGTAGCTGCCTTTGCCGTGAGTTGAAATATTTGGGAAAAAGAAAGTCAATTATAGTGGGTTGAAATTCTTTGGGTTTCATGGATTGAAAAGAAAGCAGCAACGACGTCCTCAATTTCCGCCGGCATTATTTTCAGTTTTTGTGGACGGTTTATACTTTTGGATGTTGAATAGTACTGGGATTTTGAGTGTTTTTTTTTTTTAATAAAAAAATCACACCCCAATCAGTATATGTTGAGTATATTGACAGTATATTTTCAGTTTATAGACATTTTACGTCTGTATTATTTACATTTTGGGTATATGTTGTGTGTATATAGAGTATATGTATAGTATATGTTTTGTATATTTAGAATATTTTTTTTTTTGTATAAGGAATATAAGTAATCTGTAATAATATGTGTTTTTTTTTATCGCAACATATACTGAATATATACTAACATAAACGCAATATATACCGGCTGCGTGAATTGTAGAATTCCAGTTGCGCTCCATACCGTATGAATAGCGCGAATCAGACTGCGAGCTTTTCTTTTGCACATATACTGAATATATACTAACATAAACTCAATATATACCACTTGAGAAACATAAACACAATATATACCGGCTGCGTAAATTACATAATTCTAGTTGCCACATATACTGAATATGTACTAACATAAACTCAATATATACCACCTGAGAGCTCTATTAAATTACCTGCATGAATTAAGGGGATAAGCGTGAATTAAGGAGATAGGGTTGAAAGGATATGGTAACTTTAGGCATTAATATAAATAAATAATGTCTTTTAGGTAGAGACATAATTATTTCTATTTGTATGGTAAAATTACAATTAATTTAAAATCATGCAGCATAAATAAAAATTTCCCTTTTTCAAATATCAGAACAGTTGGTTCATGCAGGTTCGACCCTAAGCCGACGGATCGACTATGAACCGAGAACTGGCAGTTTCTTGAACCAGCACATATATATACCTAGGCCGATCTGGTTTACATAGAATGCGAACCTAAAGGCGGTTTCGGATCAGAACTGGCCCGTTGACACATCTAGTATCTCGACAAGAAAAAGAATGAAGATAAAAAGAATCATAAAAAAAAAAAACCTCTAAAATTCTCATATCCAATTTCCCTATATATCAATTCATAATATGTTGAGTCTAACTGGAATTCTCGCATACTTCAAAAACTTCTTTACCGTAACGACTCTTCCTATTGACACATGTACAACTTTGGCGACTAGGCTTGAAATTACCGTAAAATTAATTTATCATTCATTTTCTTATATTATTATAGATTACATTTCTTTTTTTTTTAATTATCATATATTATATTTTTTCTTATTAATTCACTATTATAAATCTGCATTCTTCTTATTTACAAACATTTAATTTTTTTTTTTATTTGTATTTTATTTTCATATATGATCAAATTATCCACTATTTAAAGATTTTTATTTAACATCTGTATTGAATACTAATATAAAAACAATATCATGTATTTATAAACAAAACTTTAATTCATTTATCAAACTAAATTGAGAAATATCAAATAAAAATTGGTAGATAAAATAATAAAATTTTAATTTATTATTATACCATAAGATACTTATTTTAGTGTAGTATTTCTATAGATCTCAAAAAAATATACAATATATGTATTAACAAAACATAAAGAATCAAAAAATGTGTCTAGACTTAAATAAAGTATAAAGATTATTTTAATTTTATTATGATGTTGAAAATATAAAATACAAATGAATATCATAATTAAAAATAGTAATACTTTTTTATATTCGATAAAGTTAGAAAATATTATATTTCTTTATACTAACTTATAATCTAACCTATCAAATATTACAAATTTAAAATACTTAAATTTAGGGTGTGTTTGGTAAACCTAGCTGATAAGCTAGCTGATAGCTTATAAGCTAGCTGGTAGCTGATAAGCTATAAGCTAGCTTATAGCTTATGATTTATAGCTGAAAAGCTAGCTTATATGATAAAAGTGTTTGGTAAAACTAGCTTATAAGCTAGCTGAAATAAAAAAAGTCAACTAGCTTATTTTGAAACGATACCTAAACAAGCTTATCAAATAAGCTCAAGCTTTTTAAATAAGCTCGTCCTACCAAACGGAGCTGATTTAATACAGAAAGCTTATAAGCTAACCAACTAAGCTATAAACTAACTTATTATACGTGTCAAACACACCCTTAATGTATGACCGAGACCAACTCTATAAACGATAATTACAGTACAATAAGATTTTTAAATCAATCAAAAACTTTAAAATTAAATTTATTGTATTGCAATAATATTTATTTCACACATATATAATTTTATAGGGGAATGATACGGTCCTGTTATGGAACCATTCATTCGAGATTTGTAACCGTTACATAATCATATAACCGCTATATAGAATTAATCTAGCGGTTACAAATCTTGACAGAATGGTTCCGTAACGGGACGAGACCGTAGCATCTTCCTAAATAATATCACTTTATGAAAGATGTTACGGTTCCGTTACGGAAACCATTCCGTCAAGATTCATAACCGCAACCGCTAGATCAATTAAATATAACGTTACATGATAATCTAACCTAACTACTCAGAATGGTTTTGTAACGGACCCTATCATTCCCCATAAATTATTGTACAATCGTTCATTGGCCTGTCCAAAATCCCTGTTCATCTCTGGTTCTCCACTTTCAAGCCACAGCTAAACCCTTCTCATTTTCAGCATTCCGTTTCGATTTTTTTCTAACAATGCAACAGGTAAACTGAATCTGAAATTTACAGTAAAAAAAAAAATCAATTTTGTTTCGATTAACTCCTGTAATCTCCCCTCTTTTTCTGTAATTTCAAGGCTGGATCGTCGGGATCAGAAGCTGAGGTAACGTGGGAAGATCAGCAGAACATCAATAAGTTCGGAAGATTGAACAATCGTCTTCACGAGCTAGACGATGAAATCAAGACTGCCAAGGTTGCCAAATTTACCTTCTGTTAGAATATATTTTGTATATATGGTTATAATATATTTTGTATATATATTGTAGGATTAGATTTAGGCTCATTATGTTCCTATATATATGTGTACATGTCTTTTGAA